ACCAACTCACTCACCACTCACCAACTCACCCACCGACCAAGTCACCAACTCACCACTCACCACTCACCCACCACTCACTCACCAACTTACTCACCAACTCACTCACCAACTCACTCACAACTCACCACTCACTCACTCACTAACTCACCAACTCACTCACCTACTCACTCACTTAGTCACCAACTCCCTCACTCACAAACTCACTCTCTCACAAATTCACTCACCAACTTAACAACTCACTCACCAACTCACTCACCAACTCACTCACAAACTCACCAACTCACCACTCACTCACCAACTCACTCACCACTCACCAACTCACTCACCACTCACCAACTCACTCACCACCTCACCACTCACTCACCAACTCACCACACACTCACCAACTCACTCACCAACTCACTCACTCACCAACTCACTCACCAACTCACTCACTCACTCACCAACTCACTCACCACTCGCCAACTCACCAACTCACTCACCAACTCACTCACCACTCACCAACTCACTCACCAACTCACTCACCAACCCACTCACCAACTCACTCACCAAATCACTCACCAAATCACTCACCAACTCACTCGCTCACCAACTCACTCACTCACCAACTCACTCACTCACTCACCAACTCACTCACCAACTCACTCACCAACTCCCTCACTCACAAACTCACTCTCTCACAAATTCACTCACCAACTTAACAACTCACTCACCAACTCACTCACCAACTCACTCCTAAACTCACTCACCAACTCACCACTCACTCACCAACTCACTCACCACTCACCAACTCACTCACGAACTCACTCACCACTCACCAACTCACTCACCAACTCACTCACCAACTCACTCACTCACTCACCAACTCACCAACTCACTCACCAACTCACTCACCAACCCACTCACCAACTCACTCACCACTCACCAACTCACTCACCAACTCACCACCTCACTCACCAACTCACTCACCAACTCACTCACCACTCACCAACTCACCAACTCACTCACCCACTCACTCACCAACTCACTCACCACTCACCAACTCACTCACCAGCTCACTCACCAACTCACTCACCAACTTACCAACTCACTCACCACTCACCAGCTCACTCACCACTCACCAACTCACTCACCAACTCACTCACCAACTCACTCACCAACTCACTCACCAACTCACCCACCCACTCACTCACCAACTCACTCACCAACTCACTCACCAACTCACCAACTCACCCACCCACTCACTCACCCACTCACTCACCCACTCACTCACCCACTCACTCACCAACCCACCAACTCACTCACCAACTCACTCACCAACTCACCAACTCACCCACCCACTCACCAACTCACTCACCCACCCACTCACCAACTCACTCACTCACCACTCACCAACTCACTCACTCACCCACTCACTCACCCACTCACTCACCAACTTACTCACCAACTCACTCACCAAATCACTCACCAACTCGCTCGCTCACCAACTCACTCACCAACTTACTCACCAACTCACTCACCAACTCACTCACTCACCAACTCACTCTCTCACAAACTCACTCACCAACTCACTCACCAACTCACTCACCAACTCACTCACCAACTCACCAACTCACCACTCACTCACCAACTCACTCACCACTCACCAACTCACTCACCACTCACTCACCACTCACCAACTCACTCACCACTCACCAACTCACTCACCACCTCACCACTCACCAACTCACCACACACTCACCACTCACTCACCAACTTACTCACTCACTCACCAACTCACTCACCACTCACCAACTCACCAACTCACTCACCAACTCACTCACCAACCCACTCACCAACTCACTCACCACTCACCAACTCACCAACTCACTCACCAACTCACTCACTACTCACCAACTCACCAACTCACTCACCCACTCACTCACCAACCCACTCACCAACTCACTCACCACTCACCAACTCACTCACCAGCTCACTCACCAACTCACTCACCAACTTACCAACTCACTCACCACTCACCAGCTCACTCACCACTCACCAACTCACTCACCACTCACTCACCAACTCACGAACTCACTCACCCACCCACTCACCAACTCACTCACCCACCCACTCACCAACTCACTCACCAACTCACTCACCAACTCTCTCACCACTCACCAACTCTCTCACCACTCACCAACTCACTCACCAACTCACTCACCAACTCACCCACCCACTCACTCACCCACTCACTCACCCACTCACTACCCACTCACTCACCAACTCACTCACCCACTCACCACTCACCAACTCACTCACCAACTCCCTCACCACTCATCAACTCACTCACCACTCACCAACTCATTCACCAACTCACTCACCAACTCACAAACTCACTCACCAACTCACCACTCACCAACTCACTCACCCACCCACTCACCAACTCACTCACCACTCACCAACTCACTCACCAACTCACCAACTCACCCACTCACTCACTCACCAGCTCACTCACCAACTCACTCACCAACTCACTCACCACTCACCAACACACTCACTACTCACCAACTCACTCACCAACTCACCAACTCACTCACTCACCAACACACTCACTACTCACCAACTCACTCACCACTCACCAACTCACTCACCAACTCACTCAACAACTCACTCACTCACCAACACACTCACTACTCACCAACTCACTCACCAACTCACCAACTCACTCACCACTCACCAACTCACTCACCACTCACCAACTCACTCACCTCTCACCAACTCACCAACTCACTCACCAACTCACTCACCAACCCACTCACCAACTCACTCACCACTCACCAACTCACTCACCAGCTCACTCACCAACTCACCAACTCACTCACAACTCACCAACTCACTCACCAACTCACTCACCACTCACTCACCAACTCACCCACCCACTCACCAACTCACTCACCCACCCACTCACCCACTCACTAACTCTCTCACCACTCACCACTCACTCACCAATCACCAACTCACTCACCAGCTCACTCACCAGCTCACTCACCACTCACTCACCAACTCACTCACCAGCTCACTCACCAACTCACCACTCACCAACTCACTCACCACCCACTCACTCACTCACCACTCACTCACCACTCACCACTCACTCACCACTCACTCACTCACCACTCACTCCTCACTCTCCACTAACCAACTCACTCACCACTCACTCACCACTCACTCACCACCACTCACTCACCACTCACCAACTCACTCACCACTCAATCACCACTCACTCACCAACTCACTCACCACTCACCACTCACTCACCCCTCACTCACCACTCACTCACCACTCACCCACTCACTCACCCACTCACCCACTCACTCACCCACTCACCCACTCACTCACCCACCCACCATTCACTCACCCACTCACTCACCACTCACTCACCACTCACTCACCACTCTCTCACCACACACTCACCACTCACTCACCACTCACCCACCCACCACTCACCCACTCACTCACTCACCCACCCACTCACCCACTCACTCACTCACCCACTCACTCACCAACTCACCAACTCACTCACCCACGTACTCACCACTCACTCACCAATCACCAACTCACTCACCAGCTCACTCACCAACTCACTCACCACTCACTCACCAACTCACTCACCAGCTCACTCACCAACTCACTCACCACTCACCACTCACTCACTCACTAACTCACCAACTCACTCACCAACTCACCACTCACCAACTCACTCACCACCCACTCACTCACTCACCACTCACTCACCACTCACCACTCACTCACCACTCACTCACCACTCACTCACTCACCACTCACTCACCACTCACTCACTCACCACTCACTCCTCACTCTCCACTAACCAACTCACTCACCACTCACTCACCACTCACTCACCACCACTCACTCACCACTCACTCACTCACCACTCACCAACTCACTCACCACTCAATCACCACTCACTCACCACTCACCAACTCACTCACCACTCACCACTCACTCACCCCTCACTCACCACTCACTCACCACTCACCCACTCACTCACCCACTCACCCACCCACTCACCCACTCACCATTCACTCACCACTCACTCACCACTCACTCACCACTCTCTCACCACTCACTCACCACTCACTCACCCACCCACTCACCCACTCACTCACCCACTCACCCACTTACTCACCCACCCACCATTTACTCACCCACTCACTCACCACTCACTCACCACTCACTCACCACTCTCTCACCACTCACTCACCACTCACTCACCACTCACCCACCCACCACTCACCCACTCACTCACTCACCCACCCACTCACCCACCCACTCACCCACCCACTCACTCATCCACTCACCCACTTACCCACTCACCCACCCACTCACTCACCCACTCACTCACTCACCCACTTACCCACTCACCCACTCACCCACTCACTCACCCACTCACCCACTCACTCACCCACCCACCACTCACTCACCACTCACCCACCCACCACTCACCCACCCACTCACTCACTAACCCACCCACTCACTCACCCACTCACTCACTCACCCACTCACCCACCCACTCACCCACTCACCCACTCACTCACTCACCCACCCACCCACTCACCCACTCACTCACTCACCCACTCACTCACTCACCTACCCACTCACTCACTCACTCACCCACCCACTCACTCTCCCACTCACGCACTCACTCACCCACTCACCCACCCACCCACTCACCCACTCACTCACTCACCTACCCATCCACCCACTCACTCACTCACCCACTCACTCACTCACTCACCCACTCACTCACCCACTCACTCACCACTCACCCACCCACTCACTCACTCACCCACTCACTCACCACTCACTCACCCACTCACCCACTCACCACTCACCCACCCACTCACTCACCACCCACTCACCCACTCACTCACTCACCCACTCACTCACCACTCACTCACCACCCACTCACCACCTCTCTCCCCCCCCATCCCCAGTGCCTCCCTCTCCCCCAATCATCACTGGAGACACCGGACCAATCAGAGAAGGCGACTCTGCCTCCTTGCTCTGCTCCACCAATCACAGCAAGCCTGCCGCCCAAGTCGCATGGTTCCGCGACGGCCAATCGCTGAACGGTAAACGCTCCCTTACCAACATGGCGGATGCCGTGGGCAGAGTGACCTTACCAACGTGGCGGATGCCGTGCGCAGAGTGACCTTACCAACATGGCGGATGCCGTGGGCAGAGTGACCTTACCAACATGGCGAATGTCATGCGCAGAGTGACCTTACCAACATGGCGGATGCCGTGCGCAGAGTGACCTTACCAACATGGTGGATGTGCGCAGAGTGACCTTACCAACATGGCGGTTGCCGTGGTCAGAGTGGCCTTACCAACATGGCGGATGCCGTGCGCAGAGTGGCCTAACCAACATGGCGGATGCCGTGCGCAGAGTGGCCTTACCAACATGGCGGTAGCCGTGGGCAGAGTGGCCTTACCAACATGGCGGTAGCCGTGGCCAGAGTGACCTTACCAACATGGCGGTTGCCGTGGGCAGAGTGACCTTACCAACATGGCGGTAGCCGTGGGCAGTGACCTTACCAACGTGGCGGATGCCATGCGCAGAATGACCTTACTAACATGGCGGATGCAGTGGGCAGAGTGATCTTACCAACATGGCGGATGCAGTGGGCAGAGTTACCTTACCAACTTGGCGGATGCCGTGCGCAGAGTGACCTTACCAACATGGTGGATGCCGTGCGCAGAGTGACCTTACCAACATGGTGGATGCAGTGGGCAGAGTGACCTTACCAACATGGTGGATGCCGTGCGCAGAGTGATCTTACCAACATCGCGGATGCAGTGGGCAGAGTGACCTTACCAACATGGTGGATGCAGTGGGCAGAGTGACCTTACCAATTTGGCGGATGCCGTGCGCAGAGTGACCTTACCAACATGGTGGATGCCGTGCGCAGAGTGACCTTACCAACGTGGCGGATGTTGTGCGCAGAGTGACCTTACCAACATGGTGGATGCCGTGCGCAGAGTGACCTCACCAACATGGCGGTAGCCGTGGGCAGAGTGACCTTACCAACATGGCGGTAGCCGTGGGCAGAGTGACCTTACCAACGTGGCGGATGCCATGCGCAGAGTGACCTTACCAACATGGCGGTAGCTGTGGGCAGAGTGACCTTACCAACGTGGTGGATGCCGTGTGCAGAGTGACCTTACCAACATGGCGGATGCCGTGGGCAGAGTGACCTTACCAACATGGCGGATGCCGTGGGCAGAGTGACCTTACCAATATGGTGGATGTGCGCAGAGTGACCTTACCAACATGGCGGTTGCCGTGGCCAGAGTGACCTTACCAACATAGCGGTAGCTGTGGGCAGAGTGACCTTACCAACATGGCGTATGCCGTGCGCAAAGTGGCCTTACCAACATGGCGGATGCCGTGCGCAGAGTGGCCTTACCAACATGGCGGATGCCGTGCGCAGAGTGGCCTTACCAACATGGCGGTAGCCGTGGCCAGAGTGACCTTACCAACATGGCGGTAGCTGTGGGCAGAGTTGCCTTACCAACATGGCGGATGCCGTGTGTAGAGTGGCCTTACCAACATGGCGGTAGCCGTGGACAGAGTGACCTTACCAACATGGCGGTAGCCGTGGGCAGTGACCTTACCAACGTGGCGGATGCCATGCGCAGAATGAACCTACCAACATGGCGGATGCCGTGCACAGAGTGACCTTACCAACATGGCGGTAGCTGTGGGCAGAGTGACCTAACCAACGTGGTGGATGCCGTGTGTAGAGTGACCTTACCAACATGGCGGATGCAGTGGGCAGAGTGACCTTACCAACATGGCGGATGCCGTGCGCAGAGTGTCCTTACCAATGTGGCGGGTGCCGTGCGCAGTGACCTTACCAACATGGCGGATGCCATGGTCAGAGTTACCTTACCAACATGGCGGATGCCATGGTCAGAGTGACCTTACCAACATGGTGGATGCCGTGCACAGAGTGACCTTACCAACATGGCGGTAGCTGTGGGCAGAGTGACCTTTCCAACGTGGTGTATGCCGTGTGCAGAGTGACCTTACCAACATGGCGGATGCCGCGTGCAGAGTGACCTTACCAACATGGCGGTTGCCGTGGCCAGAGTGACCTTACCAACATGGCGGTAGCTGTGGGCAGAGTGACCTTACCAACGTGGCGGATGCCGTGTGCGGGGACTTTACCAACATGGCGGATGCTGTGCGCAGAGTGGCCTTACCAACATGGCGGTAGCCGTGGGCAGAGTGACCTTACCAACATGGCGGTAGCCGTGGGCAGAGTGACCTTACCAACATGGCGGTAGCCGTGGGCAGTGACCTTGCCAACGTGGCGGATGCCATGCGCAGAATGACCTTACCAATATGGCGGATGCCATGCACAGAGTGATCTTACCAACATGGTGGATGCTGTGCGCAGATTGACCTTACCAACATGGCCGATGCCATGTGCAGAGTGACCTTACCAACACCCCGCAGGCTCCCAGCTGGTGACCCCTGACCCCGACGACACCGTGGCGACCTTTGCGGTGAGCAGCGCCGTGACCTTTCACCCCCGGCGGCAGGACGAGGCGGCCATCTTGGAGTGCCGGGTCACGCAGCTGGGGTCAGAGGTCGCAACGGCAACACAGCTTCTGACTGTCCACTGTGAGTGTCTATCTGGAATGTCTATCTAGAGTGTCTATCTAGAGTGTCTATCTAGAGTGTGAGTGTCTATCTAGAGTGTCTATCTAGAGTGTGAGTGTCTATCTAGAGTGTCTATCTAGAGTGTCTATCTAGAGTGTAAGTGTCTATCTAGAGTGTCTATCTAGAGTGTCTATCTAGAGTGTGAGTGTCTATCTAGAGTGTCTATGTAGAGTGTGAGTGTCTATCTAGAGTGTCTATCTAGAGTGTGAGTGTCTATCTAGAGTGTGAGTGTCTATCTAGAGTGTCTATCTAGAGTGTGAGTGTCTATCTAGAGTGTCTATCTAGAGTGTCTATCTAGAGTGTGAGTGTCTATCTAGAGTGTCTATCTAGAGTGTCTATCTAGAGTGTGAGTGTCTATCTAGAGTGTATATCTAGAGGGTGAGTGTCTATCTAGAGTGTCTATCTAGAGTGTGAGTGTCTATCTAGAGTGTCTATCTAGAGTGTGAGTGTCTATCTAGAGTGTGAGTGTCTATCTAGAGTGTCTATCTAGAGTGTGAGTGTCTATCTAGAGTGTCTATCTAGAGTGTCTATCTAGAGTGTGAGTGTCTATCTAGAGTGTCTATCTAGAGTGTATATCTAGAGTGTGAGTGTCTATCTAGAGTGTCTATCTAGAGTGTGAGTGTCTATCTAGAGTGTCTATCTAGAGTGTGAGTGTCTATCTAGAGTGTCTATCTAGAGTGTGAGTGTCTATCTAGAGTGTGAGTGTCTATCTAGAGTGTGAGTGTCTATCTAGAGTGTCTATCTAGAGTGTGAGTGTCTATCTAGAGTGTCTATCTAGAGTGTGAGTGTCTATCTAGAGTGTGAGTGTCTATCTAGAGTGTCTATCTAGAGTGTGAGTGTCTATCTAGAGTGTCTATCTAGAGTGTGAGTGTCTATCTAGAGTGTCTATCTAGAGTGTGAGTGTCTATCTAGAGTGTGAGTGTCTATCTAGAGTGTCTATCTAGAGTGTGAGTGTCTATCTAGAGTGTGAGTGTCTATCTAGAGTGTCTATCTAGAGTGTGAGTGTCTATCTAGAGTGTGAGTGTCTATCTAGAGTGTGAGTGTCTATCTAGAGTGTGAGTGTCTATCTAGAGTGTCTATCTAGAGTGTGAGTGTCTATCTAGAGTGTGAGTGTCTATCTAGAGTGTGAGTGTCTATCTAGAGTGTGAGTGTCTAATCTAGAGTGTCTATCTAGAGTGTCTATCTAGAGTGTGAGTGTCTATCTAGAGTGTGAGTGTCTATCTAGAGTGTCTATCTAGAGTGTCTATCTAGAGTGTGAGTGTCTATCTAGAGTGTGAGTGTCTATCTAGAGTGTCTATCTAGAGTGTGAGTGTCTATCTAGAGTGTGAGTGTCTATCTAGAGTGTGAGTGTCTATCTAGAGTGTCTATCTAGAGTGTGAGTGTCTATCTAGAGTGTCTATTCTAGAGTGTGAGTGTCTATCTAGGAGTGTCTATCTAGAGTGTGAGTGTCTATCTAGAGTGTGCTATCTAGAGTGTCTATCTAGAGTGTGAGTGTCTATCTAGAGTGTGAGTGTCTATCTAGAGTGTCTATCTAGAGTGTGAGTGTCTATCTAGAGTGTGAGTGTCTAGTCTAGAGTGTCTATCTAGAGTGTGAGTGTCTATCTAGAGTGTGAGTGTCTATCTAAGGTGTGAGTGTCTATCTAGAGTGTCTATCTAGAGTGTGAGTGTCTATCTAGAGTGTGAGTGTCTATCTAGAAGTGGTCTATCTAGAGTGTGAGTGTCCTTAGAGTTGTCTATCTAGAGTGTGAGTGTCTATCTAGAGTGTGATTATTGAGTGTCTATCTAGAGTGTGAGTGTCTATCTAGAGTGTCTATCTAGAGTGTGAGTGTCTATCTAGAGTGTCTATCTAGAGTGTGAGTGTCTATCTAGAGTGTGAGTGTCTATCTAGAGTGTGAGTGTCTATCTAGAGTGTGAGTGTCTATCTAGAGTGTGAGTGTCTATCTAGAGTGTCTATCTAGAGTGTGAGTGTCTATCTAGAGTGTGAGTGTCTATCTAGAGTGTGAGTGTCTATCTAGAGTGTCTATCTAGAGTGTGAGTGTCTATCTAGAGTGTCTATCTAGAGTGTGAGTGTCTATCATGAGTGTCTATCTAGAGTGTGAGTGTCTATCTAGAGTGTCTATCTAGAATGTGAGTGTCTATCTAGAGTGTGAGTGTCTATCTAGAGTGTCTATCTAGAGTGTCTATCTAGAATGTGAGTGTCTATCTAGAGTGTGAGTGTCTATCTAGAGTGTCTATCTAGAGTGTGAGTGTCTATCTAGAATGTCTATCTAGAGTGTGAGTGTCTATCTAGAGTGTCTATCTAGAGTGTGAGTGTCTATCTAGAGTGTCTATCTAGAGTGTGAGTGTCTATCTAGAGTGTGAGTGTCTATCTAGAGTGTCTATCTAGAGTGTGAGTGTCTATCTAGAGTGTCTATCTAGAGTGTGAGTGTCTATCTAGAGTGTGAGTGTCTATCTAGAGTGTCTATCTAGAGTGTGAGTGTCTATCTAGAGTGTGAGTGTCTATCTAGAGTGTCTATCTGAGTGTGAGTGTCTATCTAGAGTGTGAGTGTCTATCTAGAAGTGTGAGTGTCTATCTAGAGTGTCTATCTAGAGTGTGAGTGTCTATCTAGAGTGTGAGTGTCCCTATCTAGAGTGGTCTATCTAGAGTGTGAGTGTCTATCTAGAGTGTGAGTGTCCTATCTAGAGTGTGAGTGTCTATCTAGAGTGTGAGTGTCTATCTAGAGTGTCTATCTAGAGTGTGAGTGTCTATCTAGAGGTGTCTATCTAGAGTGTGAGTGTCTATCTAGAGTGTCTATCTAGAATGTGAGTGTCTATCTAGAGTGTGAGTGTCTATCTAGAGTGTCTATCTAGAGTGTGAGTGTCTATCTAGAGTCTGAGTGTCTATCTAGAGTGTGAGTGTCTATCTAGAGTGTCTATCTAGAGTGTGAGTGTCTATCTAGAGTGTGAGTGTCTATCTAGAGTGTCTATCTAGAATGTGAGTGTCTATCTAGAGTGTGAGTGTCTATCTAGAGTGTCTATCTAGAGTGTGAGTGTCTATCTAGAGTGTGAGTGTCTATCTAGAGTGTGAGTGTCTATCTAGAGTGTCTATCTAGAGTGTGAGTGTCTATCTAGAGTGTGAGTGTCTATCTAGAGTGTGAGTGTCTATCTAGAGTGTCTATCTAGAGTGTGAGTGTCTATCTAGAGTATGAGTGTCTATCTAGAGTGTGAGTGTCTATCTAGAGTGTCTATCTAGAGTGTGAGTGTCTATCTAGAGTGTGAGTGTCTATCTAGAGTGTGCGTGTCTATCTAGAGTGTCTATCTAGAGTGTGAGTGTCTATCTAGAGTGTCTATCTAGAGTGTGCGTGTCTATCTAGACTGTCTATCTAGTGTGAGTGTCTATCTAAAGTGTCTATCTAGAGTGTGAGTGTCTATCTAGAGTGTCTATCTAGAGTGTGAGTGTCTATCTAGAGTGTGAGTGTCTATCTAGAGTGTCTATCTAGAGTGTGAGTGTCTATCTCGAGTTTGAGTGTCTATATAGAGTGTGAGTGTCTATCTAGAGTGTCTATCTAGAGTGTGAGTGTCTATCTAGAGTGTGAGTGTCTATCTAGAGTGTCTATCTAGTGTGAGTGTCTATCTAAAGTGTCTATCTAGAGTGTGAGTGTCTATCTAGAGTGTCTATCTAGAGTGTGAGTGTCTATCTAGAGTGTGAGTGTCTATCTAGAGTGTCTATCTAGAGTGTGAGTGTCTATCTAGAGTGTCTATCTAGAGTGTGAGTGTCTATCTAGAGTGTGAGTGTCTATCTAGAGTGTCTATCTAGAGTGTGAGTGTCTATCTCGAGTTTGAGTGTCTATATAGAGTGTGAGTGTCTATCTAGAGTGTCTATCTAGAGTGTGAGTGTCTATCTAGTGTGTCTATCTAGAGTGTGAGTGTCTATCTAGAGTGTCTATCTAGAGTGTGAGTGTCTATCTAGAGTGTGAGTGTCTATCTAGAGCGTGAGTGTCTATCTAGAGTGTGAGTGTCTATCTAGAGTGTGAGTGTCTATCTAGAGTGTGAGTGTCTATCTAGAGTGTGAATCTAGAGTGTCTATCTAGAGTGTGAGTGTCTATCTAGAGTGTCTATCTAGAGTGTCTATCTAGAGTGTGAGTGTCTATCTAGATAGAGTGTGAGTGTCTATCTAGAGTGTCTATCTAGAGTGTGAGTGTCTATCTAGAGTGTCTATCTAGAGTGTGAGTGTCTATCTAGAGTGTCTATCTAGAGTGAGTGGCTATCTAGAGTGTGAGTGTCTATCTAGAGTGTCTATCTAGAGTGTCTATCTAGAGTGTGAGTGTCTATCTAGAGTGTCTATCTAGAGTGTGAGTGTCTATCTAGAGTGTCTATCTAGAGTGAGTGGCTATCTAGAGTGTGAGTGTCTATCTAGAGTGTCTATCTAGAGGGTCTATCTAGAGTGTGAGTGTCTATCTAGAGTGTCTATCTAGAGTGTGAGTGTCTATCTAGAGTGTCTATCTAGAGTGAGTGGCTATCTAGAGTGTGAGTGTCTATCTAGAGTGTCTATCTAGAGGGTCTATCTAGAGTGTGAGTGTTCAGCCTTGTCTCAACCACCACTCTCTCCCCGTGTCTCTCTCCCCGTGTCTCTCTCCAGTTCCTCCCCGTGTCTCTCTGCAGCGGCGTGAGACAATCACGACAGTCGGACAAACGACGTCACTCAGCTGTGAGACAGAGGGGAACCCACGGTGAGAGACACAGAGACACGGGGAGAGAGACACGGGGAGAGACACGGGGAGAGAGACACGGGGGGAGAGAGACAAGGGGGGAGAGACACGGAGAGAGACACGGGGAGAGAGAGACACGGAAATTAGTAGTTATGTTGTCTGTCTTGACATGTCTCTCTCCCCGTGTCTATTCCCCGTGTCTCTCTCTCCCCGTGTCTCTCTCTCTCCCCGTGTCTCTCTCTCTCTCTCCCCGCGTCTCTCTCCCCGTGTCTCTCTCTCCCCGTGTCTCTCTCTCCCCGTGTCTCTCTCCCTGTGTCTCTCTCCCCGTGTCTCTCTCTGTCTCTCTCTCTCCCCGTGTCTCTCTCTCCCCGTGTCTCTCTCTCTCCCCGTGTCTCTCCCCGTGTCTCTCCCCGTGTCTCTCTCTCTCTCTCTCCCCGTGTCTCTCTCTCCCCGTCTCTCTCTCCCCGTGTCTCTCTCTCTCCCCGTGTCTCTCTCCCCGTGTCTCTCTCCCCGTGTCTCTCTCTCTCCCCGTGTCTCTCTCTCCCCATGTCTCTCTCCCCGTGTCTCTCTCCCCGTGTCTCTCTCTCTCCCCGTGTCTCTCTCTCCCCGTGTCTCTCTCCCCGTGTCTCTCTCCCCGTGTCTCTCTCTCTCCCCGTGTCTCTCTCTCCCCGTGTCTCTCTCCCCGTGTCTCTCTCCCTGTGTCTCTCTCTCTCCCCGTGTCTCTCTCTCCCCGTGTCTCTCTCCCTCCCCGTGGCTCTCTCCCTCCCCGTGGCTCTCTCTCCCCCCGTGTCTCTCTCTCCCCGTGTCTCTCTCCCCGTGTATCTCTCCCCGCGTCTCTCTCTCCCCGTGTCTCTCTCTCTCCCCGTGTCTCTCTCTCTCTCCCCGTGTCTCTCTCTCCCTCCCCGTGTCTCTCCCTCCCCCCGTGTCTCTCTCTCTCTCTCTCTCCGTGTCTCTCTCTCTCTCTCTCCCCGTGTCTCTCTCTTCCCCCGTGTCTCTCTCTCTCCCCGTGTCTCTCTCTCTCCCCGTGTCTCTCTCCCCGTGTCTCTCTCTCCCCGTGTCTCTCTCTCCCCGTGTCTCTCTCTCTCCCCGTGTCTCTCTCTCTCCCCGTGTCTCTCTCTACCCGTGTCTCTCTCTACCCGTGTCTCTCTCTCTCCCCGTGTCTCTCTCTCCCTCCCCGTGTCTCTCTCTCCCCCCGTGTCTCTCTCTCTCCCCGTGTCTCTCTCTCCCCGTGTCTCTCTCCCCGTGTCTCTCTCTCCCTCCCCGTGTCTCTCTCTCCCCCCGTGTCTCTAGGCCCAGGATCACGTGGTCTCGTCTCCACGGCAACCTGTCCGCGGATGTGGTTGCCGTTGGCGACGGTCGCCTGGTCTTCCCTCGGGTGCGTCTCCATGACGACGGGGAGTACGCCTGCCTAGCAACCAGCGTCGCCGGTTCGGATACAGCCATCATGAAGTTGCACGTCACTGGTGAGAGAGAGAGAGACACGGGGAGAGAGAGAGACACGGGGAGAGAGAGACACGGGGAGAGACACGGGGAGAGAGAGAGACACGGGGAGAGAGAGACACGGGGAGAGAGAGACACGGGGAGAGAGAGACACGGGGAGAGAGAGAGACACAGTGAGAGAGAGAGACACGGGGAGAGAGAGACACGGGGAGAGAGAGACACGGGGAGAGACACGGGGAGAGAGAGAGACACGGGGTGAGAGAGAGACACGGGGAGAGAGAGACACGGGGTGAGAGAGAGACACGGGGAGAGAGAGAGAGACACGGGCAGAGAGAGAGAGACACGGGGAGAGAGAGAGACACGGGGAGAGAGAGACACAGGGAGAGAGACATGGGGAGAGAGAGACACGGGGGGAGAGAGAGACACGGGGAGAGAGAGACACGGGGAGAGAGAGAGACACGGGGAGAGAGAGAGACACGGGGAGAGAGAGACACGGGGAGAGAGAGAGAGAGAGAGACACGGGGAGAGACAGACACGGGGAGAGAGAGAGAGAGAGACACGGGGAGAGAGAGACACTGGGAGAGAGACGCGGGGAGAGAGAGACACGGGGAGAGAGAGAGACGGGGAGAGAGAGACACGGGGAGAGAGAGAGAGACACGGGGAGAGAGAGAGACACGGGGAGAGAGAGACACGGGGAAAGAGAGACACGGGGAGAGAGAGACACGGGGAGAGAGAGAGACACGGGGAGAGAGAGACACGGGGAGAGAGACATGGGGAGAGAGACACGGGGTGAGATAGACACGGGGTGAGAGAGACACGGGGAGAGAGAGAGACACGGGGAGAGAGAGACACGGGGTGAGAGAGAGACACGGAGAGAGAGAGAGACACGGGGAGAGAGAGAGAGACACGGGGAGAGAGAGAGACACGGGGAGAGAGAGACACGGGGAAAGAGAGACACGGGGAGAGAGAGAGACACGGGGAGAGAGAGACACGGGGAGAGAGAGACACGGGGAGAGAGACACGGGGAGAGAGAGACACGGGGAGAGAGAGAGACACGGGGAGAGAGAGAGACACGGTGTGAGAGAGAGACACGGGGAGAGAGAGAGACACGGGGAGAGAGACACGGGGAGAGAGACACGGGGAGAGAGAGAGACACGGGGAGAGAGAGACGGGGAGAGAGAGACACGGGGAGAGAGACACGGGGAGAGACACGGGGAGAGACACGGGGAGAGAGAGAGACACGGGGAGAGAGACACGGGGAGAGAGACACGGGGAGAGAGAGAGACACGGGGAGAGAGAGAGACACGGGGAGAGAGACACGGGGAGAGAGAGACACGGGGAGAGAGAGAGACACGGGGAGAGAGAGACGGGGAGAGAGAGACACGGGGAGAGAGAGAGAGAGAGAGAGACACGGGGAGAGACACGGGGAGAGACACGGGGAGAGAGAGAGACACGGGGAGAGAGACACGGGGAGAGAGAGACACGGGGAGAGAGAGAGACACGGGGAGAGAGACACGGGGAGAGAGACATGGGGAGAGAGAGACACGGGGAGAGAGACACGGGGAGAAAGAGACACGGGGAGAGAGAGACGGGGAGAGAGAGACACGGGGAGAGAGAGAGACACGGGGAGAGAGACACGGGGAGAGAGACACGGGGAGAGAGAGAGACACGGGGAGAGAGAGACGGGGAGAGAGAGACACGGGGAGAGAGAGAGAGAGAGAGAGACACGGGGAGAGACACGGGGAGAGACACGGGGAGAGAGAGAGACACGGGGAGAGAGACACGGGGAGAGAGACACGGGGAGAGAGAGACACGGGGAGAGAGAGAGACACGGGGAGAGAGACACGGGGAGAGAGAGACACGGGGAGAGAGAGAGACACGGGGAGAGAGACACGGGGAGAGAGACACGGGGAGAGAGAGACACGGGGAGAGAGAGAGACACGGGGAGAGAGAGATGGGGAGAGAGAGACACGGGGAGAGAGAGAGAGAGAGACACGGGGAGAGACACGGGGAGAGACACAGGGAGAGAGAGAGACACGGGGAGAGAGACACGGGGAGAGAGACACGGGGAGAGAGAGACACGGGGAGAGAGAGAGACACGGGGAGAGAGACACGGGGAGAGAGACACGGGGAGAGAGAGACACGGGGAGAGAGAGAGACACGGGGAGAAAGAGACACGGGGAGAGAGAGAGAGATATGGGGGGAGAGAGAGAGAGACACGGGGAGAGACACGGGGAGAGACACGGGGAGAGAGAGAGACACGGGGAGAGAGACACGGGGAGAGAGAGAGACACGGGGAGAGAGACACGGGGAGAGAGAGACACGGGGAGAGAGACACGGGGAGAGAGAGACACGGGGAGAGAGAGAGACACGGGGAGAGAGAGACGGGGAGAGAGAGACACGGGGAGAGAGAGACACGGGGAGAGAGACACGGGGAGAGAGACACGGGGAGAGAGAGAGACACGGGGAGAGAGACACGGGGAGAGAGACACGGGGTGAGAGAGACACGGGGAGAGAGAGACACAGGGAGAGAGAGAGACACGGGGAGAGAGACACGGGGAGAGAGAGAGACACGGGGAGAGAGAGAGACACGGGGAGAGAGAGACACGGGGAGAGAGAGACATGGGGAGAGAGAGACACAGGGAGAGAGAGACATGGGGAGAGAGAGACACGGGGAGAGAGAGACACGGGGAGAGAGACACGGGGAGAGAGACACGGGGAGAGAGAGACACAGGGAGAGAGAGAGACACGGGGAGAGAGAGACGGGGAGAGAGAGACACGGGGAGAGAGAGAGAGAGAGAGACACGGGGAGAGAGAGAGAGAGACACGGGGAGAGAGAGAGACACGGGGAGAGAGACACGGGGAGAGAGAGAGACACGGGGAGAGAGACACGGGGAGAGAGACACGGCGAGAGAGAGACACGGGGAGAGAGAGAGACACGGGGAGAGAGAGACACGGGGAGAGAGAGACACAGGGAGAGAGAGACACGGGGAGAGAGACACGGGGAGAGAGACACGGGGAGAGAGAGAGACACGGGGAGAGAGACACGGGGAGAGAGACACGGGGAGAGAGAGACACGGGGAGAGAGAGACACAGGGAGAGAGACACGGGGAGAGAGACACGGGGAGAGAGAGAGACACGGGGAGAGAGAGAGACACGGGGAGAGAGAGACACGGGGAGAGAGAGACATGGGGAGAGAGAGACACGGGGAGAGAGAGACATGGGGAGAGAGAGACACGGGGAGAGATAGAGACACGGGGAGAGAGAGACACGGGGAGAGAGAGAGACACGGGGAGAGAGACACGGGGAGAGAGACACGGGGAGAGAGAGACACGGGGAGAGAGACACGGGGAGAGAGAGACACGGGGAGAGAGACACGGGGAGAGAGACACGGGGGGAGGGACAGGGTAGAGAGACACGGGGAGAGAGACACGGGGAGAGAGAGAGACACGGGGAGAGAGACACGGGGAGAGAGACACGGGGAGAGAGAGACACGGGGAGAGAGACACGGGGAGAGAGAGACACGGGGAGAGAGAGACACGGGGAGAGAGACACGGGGAGAGAGACACGGGGAGAGAGACACGGGGAGAGAGAGACACGGGGAGAGAGACACGGGGAGAGAGAGAGACACGGGGAGAGAGACACGGGGAGAGAGAGAGACACGGGGAGAGAGAGAGACACGGGGAGAGAGAGACACGGGGAGAGAGACACGGGGAGAGAGAGACGGGGAGAGAGAGACACGGGGAGAGAGAGAGAGAGAGACACGGGGAGAGAGAGAGAGAGAGACACGGGGAGAGAGAGAGACACGGGGAGAGAGACACGGGGAGAGAGAGAGACACGGGGAGAGAGAGAGACACGGGGAGAGAGACACGGGGAGAGAGACACGGCGAGAGAGAGACACGGGGAGAGAGAGAGACACGGCGAGAGAGAGACACGGGGAGAGAGAGACACAGGGAGAGAGAGACACGGGGAGAGAGACACGGGGAGAGAGAGAGACACGGGGAGAGAGAGAGACACGGGGAGAGAGACACGGGGAGAGAGACACGGGGTGAGAGAGACACGGGGAGAGAGAGACACAGGGAGAGAGACACGGGGAGAGAGACACGGGGAGAGAGAGAGACACGGGGAGAGAGAGAGACACGGGGAGAGAGAGACACGGGGAGAGAGAGACATGGGGAGAGAGAGAGACACGGGGAGAGAGAGACATGGGGAGAGAGAGACACGGGGAGAGAGAGAGACACGGGGAGAGAGAGACACTGGGAGAGAGACACGGGGAGAGAGACACGGGGAGAGAGAGACACGGGGAGAGAGACACGGGGAGAGAGAGACACGGGGAGAGAGACACGGGGGGAGGGACAGGGTAGAGAGACACGGGGAGAGAGACACGGGGAGAGAGAGAGACACGGGGAGAGAGACACGGGGAGAGAGACACGGGGAGAGAGAGACACGGGGAGAGAGACACGGGGAGAGAGACACGGGGAGAGAGACACGGGGAGAGAGAGACACGGGGAGAGAGACACGGGGAGAGAGAGAGACACGGGGAGAGAGAGAGACACGGGGAGAGAGACACGGGGAGAGAGAGAGACACGGGGAGAGAGAGAGACACGGGGAGAGAGAGACACGGGGAGAGAGAGACGCGGGGAGAGAGAGACACGGGGAGAGAGAGAGAGAGAGACACGGGGAGAGAGAGAGAGAGACACGGGGAGAGAGAGAGACACGGGGAGAGAGACACGGGGAGAGAGAGAGACACGGGGAGAGAGAGAGACACGGGGAGAGAGACACGGGGAGAGAGACACGGGGAGAGAGAGACACGGGGAGAGAGAGAGACACGGGGAGAGAGAGACACGGGGAGAGAGAGACACAGGGAGAGAGAGACACGGGGAGAGAGACACGGGGAGAGAGACACGGGGAGAGAGAGAGACACGGGGAGAGAGACACGGGGAGAGAGACACGGGGTGAGAGAGACACGGGGAGAGAGAGACACGGGGAGAGAGACACGGGGAGAGAGACACGGGGAGAGAGAGAGACACGGGGAGAGAGAGAGACACGGGGAGAGAGAGACATGGGGAGAGAGAGACACGGGGAGAGAGAGACATGGGGAGAGAGAGACACGGGGAGAGAGAGAGACACGGGGAGAGAGAGACACGGGGAGAGAGACACGGGGAGAGAGACACGGGGAGAGAGAGACACGGGGAGAGAGACACGGGGAGAGAGAGACACGGGGAGAGAGACACGGGGAGAGAGACACGGGGGGAGGGACAGGGTAGAGAGACACGGGGAGAGAGACACGGGGAGAGAGAGAGACACGGGGAGAGAGACACGGGGAGAGAGACACGGGGGGAGGGACAGGGTAGAGAGACACGGGGAGAGAGACACGGGGAGAGAGAGAGACACGTGAGGGACAGTGTCTGTCTGTGTTTGTCTCTGTAGAGCCGACGACCACCAAAGGGACATCACCGTCCCCCTCATCATCGTCATCCTTCAACAACACCGGTAACACCGTGTCTCTGTCTGTGTGTGTGTGTGTGTCTCTGTCTCTGTCTGTGTGTGTGTGTGTCTCTGTCTGTGTCTCTGTCTCTGTCTCTGTCGTCTGTCTCTGTCGTCTGTCTCTGTCTGTCTCTGTGTGTCTCTGGCTGTGTCTCTGTCTCTGTGTGTCTCTGTCTGTCTGTGTGTGTGTGTCTGTGTGAGTCTCTGTGTGAGTCTCTGTGTGAGTCTCTGTGTGAGTCTCTCTGTGTGTCTCTGTGTGTGTCTCTGTGTGAGTCTCTCTGTGTGTCTCTGTGTGTGTCTGTGTGTCTCTGTGTCTCTGTGTGTGTCTCTGTGTGAGTCTCTCTGTGTGAGTCTCTGTGTGAGTCTCTATGTCTCTGTGTCTCTGCGTGTCTCTGTCTGTCTCTCTGTGTGTGTCTCTGTCTCTGTGTGTGTCTCTGTCTGTGTGTCTCTGTGTGTGTCTCTGTGTGTGTCTGTGTGTCTCTGTGTCTGTCTGTCTCTGTCTGTGTGTGTGTCTCTGTGTGTGTCTGTGTGTCTCTGTGTCTCTGTGTGTGTCTCTGTGTGAGTCTCTCTGTGTGAGTCTCTGTGTGAGTCTCTATGTCTCTGTGTCTCTGCGTGTCTCTGTCTGTCTCTCTGTGTGTGTCTCTGTCTCTGTGTGTGTCTCTGTCTGTGTGTCTCTGTGTGTGTCTCTGTGTGTGTCTGTGTGTCTCTGTGTCTGTCTGTCTCTGTCTGTGTGTGTGTCTCTGTGTGTGTCTGTGTGTCTCTGTGTCTCTGTGTCTGTGTGAGTCTCTGTGTGTGTCTCTGTCTCTGTGTGTCTCTGTGTGTGTCTCTGTCTGTCTCTGTCTGTCTCTGCGTGTGTGTCTGTCTGTCTCTGTGTGTGTGTCTGTCTCTGTGTCTCTGTCTGTCTCTGTCTCTGTGTCTCTGTTTATCTGTGTGTCTCTGTGTCTCTGTGTCTCTGTGTCTCTGTCTGTCTCTGTGTCTCTGTGTCTCTGTCTCTGTCTGTCTCTGTCTGTGTCTCTGTCTTTGTGTCTCTGTCTGTCTCTGTCTGTCTCTGTGTGTGTGTCTCTGTCTGTCTCTGTCTGTGTGTCTCTGTGTGTCTCTGTCTGTGTGTCTCTGTGTGTCTCTGTCTGTCTCTGTGTGTGTCTCTGTCTCTGTCTCTGTCTCTCTGTGTGTGTCTCTGTCTGTCTCTGTGTCTGTCTCTGTCTGTCTCTGTGTCTCTGTCTCAGTCTGTCTCTGTGTCTCTGTCTGTGTCTCTGTCTGTCTCTGTCTGTCTCTGTGTGTGTGTCTCTGTGTGTCTCTGTCTGTGTGTCTCTGTGTGTCTCTGTCTGTCTCTGTGTGTGTCTCTGTCTGTCTCTGTCTCTGTCTCTCTGTGTGTGTCTCTGTCTGTCTCTGTGTCTGTCTCTGTCTGTCTCTGTCTCTGTGTCTCTGTCTCTGTCTGTCTCTGTGTCTCTGTCTGTGTCTCTGTCTGTCTCTGTCTCTGTCTCTCTGTCTGTGTCTCTGTGTGTCTCTGTGTGTGTCTCTGTCTGTCTCTGTCTGTCTCTGTGTGTGTCTGTCTCTGTCTGTCTCTGTCTCTGTGTCTCTGTGTGTCTCTGTCTGTCTCTGTCTCTGTGTCTCTGTCTCTCTGTGTGTGTCTCTGTGTCTCTGTGTGTCTTTGTGTGTGTCTCTGTCTGTCTCTGTTTGTCTCTGTCTCTGTGTGTGTCTGTCTCTCTGTGTCTCTCTGTGTGTCTCTGTCTCTGTGTCTCTGTCTCTCTGTGTGTGTCTCTGTGTCTCTGTCTCTGTGTGTGTCTCTGTGTGATTCTCTGTGTGAGTCTCTGTGTGTGTCTCTGTGTGAGTCTCTGTGTGTGAGTCTCTGTGTGTGTGAGTCTCTGTGTGTGTGAGTCTCTGTGTGTGTGAGTCTCTGTGTGTGTGAGTCTCTGTGTGTGTGAGTCTCTGTGTGAGTCTCTGTGTGTGAGACTCTGTGAGTGTCTCTGTGTGTGTGAGTCTCTGTGTGTGTGAGTCTCTGTGTGAGTCTCTGTGAGTGTCTCTGTGTGTCTCTGTGTGTGTCTCTGTGTCTCTGTGTGTGTCTCTGTGTCTCTGCGTGTGTCTCTGTGTCTCTGCGTGTCTCTCTCTGTGTGTGTCTCTGTGTGTGTCTCTGAGTCTCTGTGTGTATCTCTCTGTGAGTCTCTCTGTGTGTGTCTCTGTGTCTCTGAGTCTCTGTGTGTCTGTCTGTGTGTGTCTCTGTGTCTCTGTGTCTCTCTATGTGTCTCTGTGTGTCTCTCTCTATGTGTCTCTGAGTCTCTGTGTGTGTCTCTGTGTGTGTCTCTGTGTGTGTCTCTGTGAGTCTCTGTGTGTGTCTCTGTGTGAGTCTCTGTGTGAGTCTCTGTGTGAGTCTCTGTGTGTGTGAGTCTCTGTGTGAGTCTCTGTGTCAGTCTCTGTGTGAGTCTCTGTGTGAGTCTCTGTGTGAGTCTCTGTGAGTCTCTGTGTGTGTGAGTCTCTGTGTGTGTGAGTCTCTGTGTGTGTGAGTCTCTGTGTGAGTCTCTGAGTGTCTCTGTGTGTGTCTCTGTGTCTCTCTCTATGTGTCTCTCTCTGTGAGTCTCTCTGTGTGTGTCTCTGTGTCTCTGAGTCTCTGTGTGTCTCTCTGTGTGTGTCTCTGAGTCTCTGTGTGTCTCTCTGTGTGTGTCTCTGAGTCTCTGTGAGTCTCTCTGTGTGTGTCTCTGTGTCTCTGAGTCTCTGTGTGTGTCTCTGTGTCTCTGTGTGTGTCTCTGTGTCTCTGAGTCTCTCTGTGTCTCTGTGTGTGTCTCTGTGTGTGTCTCTGTGTCTCTGTGTCTCTCTCTCTCTGTGTCTCTGTGTGTGTCTCTGTGTCTCTGTGTCTCTGTGTGTGTCTCTGTGTCTCTGTGTCTCTCTGCGTGTCTCTCTCTGCGTGTCTCTGAGTCTCTCTCCGTGTCTCCGCAGGCGAGGCTTGGGACCCGGCGTCTCCGCGCGACTCTGGCGGGAGCAGAGACACTCCACTCATCGCGGGCGTCACCGCTGTGGTGGTCTTTGTGTTGCTTTGTCTCCTCGTCCTCCTGGGGAGACATCTAGCCGCTGGGCGTAAGGGTGAGACACACAGAGACACACACAGAGACACACACACACAGACACGGAGACACGGAGACACACACAGAGACACAGAGACTCACAGAGACACACAGAGACACACACAGAGACACACAGAGACTCACACAGACACACACAGACACACACAGACACACACAGAGACACTCCACTCATCGCGGGCGTCACCGCTGTGGTGGTCTTTGTGTTGCTCTGTCTCCTCGTCCTCCTGGGGAGACATCTAGCCGCTGGGCGTAAGGGTGAGACACGGAGACACGGAGACACACAGAGACACACAGAGACTCACAGAGACTCACAGAGACTCACAGAGACTCACACACACAGAGACACAGACACACACAGAGACTCACACACACAGAGACTCACACACACACAGGCTCACACACACACAGACTCACACACACAGAGACTCAAACACAGATTCACACACACAGAGACTCACACACACAGAGACACTCACAGAGACACACACAGAGACACACACACACAGACACACACAGAGACTCAGAGAGACTCACAGAGACTCACAGAGACACACACACACAGACACAGACACACACACACACACAGAGACACACACACAGACACACACAGAGACACTCCACTCATCGCGGGCGTCACCGCTGTGGTGGTCTTTGTGTTGCTCTGTCTCCTCGTCCTCCTGGGGAGACATCTAGCCGCTGGGCGTAAGGGTGAGACACGGAGACACGGAGACACTCAGAGAGACACAGAGACACACAGAGACACACAGAGACTCACAGAGAGACACACAGAGACACACAGAGACTCACAGAGACACACACAGAGACACACAGAGACTCACAGAGACTCACAGAGACACACAGAGACCCACAGAGACTCACAGAGACTCACAGAGACCCACAGAGACCCACAGAGACTCACAGAGACTCACAGAGACTCACAGAGACCCACAGAGACCCACAGAGACTCACAGAGACTCACAGAGACTCACAGAGACACACAGAGACTCACAGAGACACACAGAGACCCACAGAGACTCACAGAGACTCACAGAGACACACAGAGACACACACACACACAGAGACCCACAGAGACTCACACACAGACAGAGACACACACAGACACACAGACACACACACAGACACACACAGACACACACACACAGACACACACAGACACACACAGAGACACTCCACTCATCGCCGGCGTCACCGCTGTGGTGGTCTTTGTGTTGCTCTGTCTCCTCGTCCTCCTGGGGAGACATCTAGCCGCTGGGCGTAAGGGTGAGACACGGAGACACACAGAGAGACACAGAGACACACAGAGACACACAGAGACACACAGAGACACACAGAGACACACAGAGACACACAGAGACTCACAGAGACCCACAGAGACTCACAGAGACCCACAGAGACTCACAGAGACCCACAGAGACACACAGAGACCCACAGAGACTCACACAGAGACTCACAGAGACACACACAGACACACACAGAGACACACAGAGACTCACAGAGACCCACAGAGACTCACAGAGACCCACAGAGACTCACAGAGACCCACAGAGACACACAGAGACCCACAGAGACTCACACAAAGACTCACACAGTGACACACACAGAGACACACAGAGACTCACAGAGACTCACAGAGACACACAGAGACTCACAGAGACACACAGAGACACACAGAGACTCACAGAGACACACAGAGACTCACAGAGACACACAGAGACACACAGAGACACACACACAGAGACACACACAGACACACAGACACACAGACACACACAGAGACACTCCACTCATCGCCGGCGTCACCGCTGTGGTGGTCTTTGTGTTGCTCTGTCTCCTCGTCCTGCTGGGGAGACATCTAGCCGCTGGGCGTAAGGGTGAGACACGGAGACACGGAGACACGGAGACACACAGAGACACACAGAGACTCACAGAGACTCACAGAGACACACACACACAGAGACACACACACACAGAGACACACACACAGAGACTCACACACACACAGACACACACAGACACACACACACACACAGACACACACACAGACACACACAGACACAGACACACACAGAGACACACACACAGACACACACAGAGACACCCAGAGACACACACAGAGACACACACACACACAGACAGAGACACACACACTCACAGACACACACACACACAGACACACACAGACACACACAGACACACACAGACACACAGACACACACACAGACACACACACACACACACAGACACACACAGAGACACACAGAGACACACAGAGACACACAGACACACACAGACACACACAGAGACACACAGAGACTCACAGAGACTCACAGAGACACACAGAGACACACACAGACACACAGAGACACACAGAGACACACAGAGACTAAGACTTATAGAGATACACAGAGACTCAGAGAGACTCACAGAGACACACAGACACACACACAGACACACAGAGACACACAGAGACACACAGAGACACACACAGAGACACACACACAGACACACACACAGACACACAGAGACACACACAGAGACACACACAGAGACACACACAGAGACACACACAGAGACACACACACACACAGAGACACACGGAGACACTCACAGAGACACACACACACACAGAGACACACAGAGACACACAGAGACACACACAGAGACACACACAGAGACACACAGAGACACACACAGAGACACTCACAGAGACACACAGAGACACACAGAGACACACAGAGACACACACAGAGACACACAGAGACACACAGAGACTCACAGAGACACACACACACAGAGACACACACAGAGACACTCACAGAGACAGACACACACAGACACACACAGAGACACACAGAGACACACAGAGACACACACACAGAGACACACACACAGAGACACACACACAGAGACACTCACAGAGACACACACAGAGATACACACAGAGACACACAGAGACACACACAGAGACACTCACAGAGACAAACACAGAGACACACAGAGACACACAGAGACACACACAGAGACACACACAGAGACACACACAGAGACACACACAAAGACACACAGAGACACACACAGAGACACACACAGAGACACACTCAGAGACACTCACAGAGACACACACAGAGACACAGAGACACACACAGAGACACACACGCAGACACACACAGACACACAGAGACACACAGAGACACACAGACACACACAGAGACACACAGAGACACACAGAGACACACAGAGACACACACGCAGACACACACAGACACACAGACACACACAGAGACACACAGAGACACACACAGAGACACACACGCAGACACACACGCAGACACACACACTGTGTGTCTCACTGTGTGTCTCACTGTGTGTCTCTGTGTGTGTGTCTCACTGTGTGTCTCACTGTGTGTCTCACTGTGTGTGTGTGTGTCTCTGTGTGTGTGTCTCACTGTGTGTCTCACTGTGTGTCTCACTGTGTGTCTCTGTGTGTGTGTCTCACTGTGTGTCTCACTGTGTGTCTCACTGTGTGTCTCACTGTGTGTCTGTGTGTGTGTGTCTCACTGTGTGTCTCACTGTGTGTCTCACTGTGTGTGTGTGTCTCTGTGTGTGTGTCTCACTGTGTGTCTCACTGTGTGTCTCACTGTGTGTCTCACTGTGTGTCTCTGTGTGTGTGTCTCACTGTGTGTGTGTGTCTCACTGTGTGTGTGTCACTGTGTGTGTGTGTGTCTCTGTGTGTGTGTCTCTGTGTGTGTGTCTCACTGTGTGTCTCACTGTGTGTGTGTGTCTCTGTGTGTGTGTCTCACTGTGTGTCTCACTGTGTGTCTCACTGTGTGTGTGTGTCTCTGTGTGTGTGTCTCACTGTGTGTCTCACTGTGTCTCTGTGTGTGTGTCTCACTACGTGTGTCTCACTGTGTGTCTCACTGTCTGTGTGTGTCACTGTGTGTGTGTGTGTCACTGTGTGTCTCACTATCTCTCTGTGTCTCTCTGTGTGTGTCTCTGTGTGTCACTGTGTCACTATCTCACACTGTGTGTGTCACTGTGTGTCTCACTATCTCTCTGTGTGTCTCACTATCTCTCTGTGTGTCTCACTATCTCTCTGTGTGTCTCACTATCTCTCTGTGTGTGTCTCACTGTGTCTCACTGTGTCTCACTGTGTCACTGTGTGTCTCACTATCTCTCTGTGTGTCTCACTATCTCTCTGTGTGTGTCTCACTGTGTCTCACTGTGTCTCACTGTGTCACTGTGTGTCTCACTATCTCTCTGTGTGTCTCACTATCTCTCTGTGTGTGTCTCACTGTGTCTCACTGTGTCTCACTGTGTCACTGTGTGTCTCACTATCTCTCTGTGTGTGTCACTATCTCTCTGTGTGTGTCTCACTGTGTCTCACTGTGTCACTGTGTGTCTCACTATCTCTCTGTGTGTCTCACTATCTCTCTGTGTGTGTCACTATCTCTCTGTGTGTGTCTCACTGTGTCTCACTGTGTCACTGTGTGTCTCACTATCTCTCTGTGTGTCTCACTATCTCTCTGTGTGTCTCACTATCTCTCTGTGTGTCTCACTATCTCACTGTGTGTCTCACTATCTCTCTGTGTGTGTGTCTCTGTGTGTGTCTCACTCCGTGTGTGTGTCACTCTCTCTCTGTGTGTGTGTCACACTGTGTGTAGGTACGTACGTGTGTGTCACTCCGTGTGTGTGTGTGTAACTGTGTGTGTGTGTAGGTACGTGTATCTCACTCTGTGTGTCACTCTCACTGTGTGTAGGTACGTGTATCTCACTGTGTGTGTGTCTCTCTCTCTCCGTGTGTAGGTACGTGTATCTCACTGTGTGTGTCTCTCTCTCACTGTGTGTAGGTACGTGTATCTCACTGTGTGTGTGTCTCTCTCTCTGTGTAGGTACGTGTATCTCACTGTGTGTGTGTCTCTCTCTCTGTGTGTAGGTACGTACGTGTGTGTCACTCCGTGTGTGTGTGTGTGTAACTGTGTGTGTATGTAGGTACGTGTATCTCACTCTGTGTGTCACTCTCACTGTGTGTAGGTACGTGTATCTCACTGTGTGTGTCTCTCTCTCTGTGTGTAGGTACGTGTATCTCACTGTGTGTGTGTCTCTCTCTCTGTGTGTAGGTACGTACGTGTGTGTCACTCCGTGTGTGTGTGTGTGTAACTGTGTGTGTGTGTAGGTACGTGTATCTCACTCTGTGTGTCACTCTCACTGTGTGTAGGTACGTGTATCTCACTGTGTGTGTGTGTGTCTCTCTGTCTGTGTGTAGGTACGTGTATCTCACTGTGTGTGTGTCTCTCTCTCACTGTGTGTAGGTACGTGTATCTCACTGTGTGTGTGTGTGTCTCTCTCTCTGTGTGTCGGTACGTACGTGTGTGTCACTCCGTGTGTGTGTGTGTAACTGTGTGTGTATGTAGGTACGTGTATCTCACTCTGTGTGTCACTCTCACTGTGTGTAGGTACGTGTATCTCACTCTGTGTGTCTCTCTCTCTGTGTGTAGGTACGTGTATCTCACTCTGTGTGTCACTCTCACTGTGTGTAGGTACGTGTATCTCACTGTGTGTGTGTCTCTCTCTCTGTGTGTAGGTACGTGTATCTCACTGTGTGTGTGTCTCACTGTGTGTGTGTAGGTACGTGTATCTCACTGTGTGTGTGTCTCACTGTGTGTGTGTAGGTACGTGTATCTCACTGTGTGTGTCTCACTGTGTGTGTGTAGGTACGTGTATCTCACTGTGTGTGTGTCTCACTGTGTGTGTGTAGGTACGTGTATCTCACTGTGTGTGTGTCTCACTGTGTGTGTGTAGGTACGTGTATCTCACTGTGTGTGTCTCACTGTGTGTGTGTAGGTACGTGTATCTCACTGTGTGTGTGTCTCACTGTGTGTGTGTAGGTACGTGTATCTCACTGTGTGTGTCTCACTGTGTGTGTGTAGGTACGTGTATCTCACTGTGTGTGTGTCTCACTGTGTGTGTGTAGGTACGTGTATCTCACTGTGTGTGTGTCTCACTGTGTGTGTGTAGGTACGTGTATCTCACTGTGTGTGTGTCTCACTGTGTGTGTGTAGGTACGTGTCTCTCACTGTGTGTGTGTCTCACTGTGTCTCCGTGTGTAGGTACGTGTATCTCACTGTGTGTGTGTGTGTCTCCGTGTGTAGGTACGTGTATCTCACTGTGTGTGTGTGTGTCTCCGTGTGTAGGTACGTGTATCTCACTGTGTGTGTGTGTGTCTCCGTGTGTAGGTACGTGTATCTCACTGTGTGTGTGTGTGTCTCCGTGTGTAGGTACGTACGTGTGTGTCACTCCGTGTGTGTGTGTGTGTCACTACGTGTCCGTGTGTGTAGGTACGTGTATCTCACTCTGTGTGTCACTCTCACTGTGTGTAGGTACGTGTATCTCACTGTGTGTGTGTCTCTCACTGTGTGTAGGTACGTGTATCTCACTGTGTGTGTGTCTCTCTCTCTGTGTGTAGGTACGTGTATCTCACTCTGTGTGTCTCTCTCTCTGTGTGTAGGTACGTGTATCTCACTCTGTGTGTCACTCTCACTGTGTGTAGGTACGTGTATCTCACTGTGTGTGTGTCTCTCTCTCTGTGTGTAGGTACGTGTATCTCACTGTGTGTGTGTCTCACTGTGTGTGTGTAGGTACGTGTATCTCACTGTGTGTGTGTCTCTCTCTCACTGTGTGTAGGTACGTGTATCTCACTGTGTGTGTGTGTGTCTCTCTCTCTGTGTGTAGGTACGTACGTGTGTGTCACTCCGTGTGTGTGTGTGTGTAACTGTGTGTGTATGTAGGTACGTGTATCTCACTCTGTGTGTCACTCTCACTGTGTGTAGGTACGTGTATCTCACTGTGTGTGTCTCTCTCTCTCTGTGTGTAGGTACGTGTATCTCACTCTGTGTGTCACTCTCACTGTGTGTAGGTACGTGTATCTCACTCTGTGTGTCACTCTCACTGTGTGTAGGTACGTGTATCTCACTCTGTGTGTCACTCTCTCTGTGTGTAGGTACGTGTATCTCACTGTGTGTGTGTGTGTCTCTCTCTCTGTGTGTAGGTACGTGTATCTCACTGTGTGTGTGTCTCTCTCTCTCCGTGTGTAGGTACGTGTATCTCACTGTGTGTGTGTCTCTCTCTCTCTGTGTGTAGGTACGTGTATCTCACTGTGTGTGTGTCTCTGTGTGTGTGTGTCTCACTATCTCACTGTGTGTGTGTCACTGTGTGTGTGTCTCACTATCTCTCTGTGTGTGTCACTGTGTGTATCTCTCTCTCTGTGTCTCTGTGTGTGTCTCTGTGTGTGTGTGTGGTGTGTGTATCTCTCTCTCTGTGTCTCTGTGTGTGTCTCTGTGTGTGTGTGTGGTGTGTGTATCTCTCTGTGTGTCTCACACTGTGTGTATCTCTCTCTCCGTGTGTAGGTACGTACGTGTGTGTCACTCCGTGTGTGTGTGTGTATCTCTCTCTCCGTGTGTAGGTACGTGTATCTCACTGTGTGTGTGTGTGTCTCCGTGTGTAGGTACGTGTATCTCACTGTGTGTGTGTGTGTCTCCGTGTGTAGGTACGTGTATCTCACTGTGTGTGTGTGTCTCCGTGTGTAGGTACGTGTATCTCACTGTGTGTGTGTGTGTCTCCGTGTGTAGGTACGTGTATCTCACTGTGTGTGTGTGTGTCTCCGTGTGTAGGTACGTGTATCTCACTGTGTGTGTGTCTCTGTGTGTGTGTGTCTCACTATCTCACTGTGTGTGTGTCACTGTGTGTGTGTCTCACTATCTCTCTGTGTGTGTCACTGTGTGTATCTCTCTCTCTGTGTCTCTGTGTGTGTCTCTGTGTGTGTGTGTGTGGTGTGTGTATCTCTCTGTGTGTCTCACACTGTGTGTATCTCTCTCTCCGTGTGTAGGTACGTGTATCTCACTGTGTGTGTGTGTATCTCTCTCACTGTGTGTGACACTGTGTGTCTCTCTCTCTGTGTGTATCTCACTACGTGTGTGTCACTGTGTGTGTGTGTCTCACCGTGTGTGTGTGTCTCTGTGTGTGTGTCACTGTGTGTGTGTGTCTCACCGTGTGTGTGTGTCTCTGTGTGTGTGTCTCACTGTGTGTGTGTGTCTCACCGTGTGTGTGTGTCTCTGTGTGTGTGTCACTGTGTGTGTGTGTCTCACCGTGTGTGTGTGTCTCTGTGTGTGTGTCACTGTGTGTGTGTGTGTCTCACCGTGTGTGTGTGTGTCTCTGTGTGTGTGTCACTGTGTGTGTGTGTGTCTCACCGTGTGTGTGTGTCTCTGTGTGTGTGTCTCACCGTGTGTGTGTGTCTCACCGTGTGTGTGTGTGTGTGTCACTGTGTGTGTGTGTGTCTCTGTGTGTGTGTCACTGTGTGTGTGTGTGTGTGTCTGTGTGTGTGTGTCACTGTGTGTGTGTATCTCACTGTGTCTCACTGTGTGTGTGTGTCACTGTGTGTCTCACTATCTCACTGTGTGTGTGTGTCTCTGTGTGTCACTGTGTGTCACTGTGTGTCTCACTGTGTGTGTGTATCTCTCTCACTGTGTGTGTGTGTCACTGTGTGTCACTGTGTGTCTCACTGTGTGTCTCACTGTGTGTGTGTGTATCTCTCTCACTGTGTGTGTGTGTCACTGTGTGTCACTGTGTGTCACTACGTGTGTCTCTCACACTGTGTGTAGGTACGTACGTGTGTGTCACTCCGTGTGTCTCACTCACTATCTCTCTCCGTGTGTAGGTACGTACGTGTGTGTCACTCCGTGTGTGTGTGTGTGTCACTCCGTGTGTGTGTGTGTGTCACTCCGTGTGTATCTCTCTCTGTGTGTCTCACCGTGTGTGTGTGTCTCTGTGTGTGTGTCTCTGTGTGTGTGTCTCTCTGTGTGTAGGTACGTACGTCACCCATGAGGGTCTTCGTGGTGGTGACGACTTCCCAGAGTCCGAGAACCTCACGGGGGAGAGAGACACGGACGGAGACGCGAGGGAGTACATGATGTAGACAGACACAGGGACACACAGACACAGACACAGAGGGAGAGAGACACAGGGAGTACATGATGTAGACAGACACAGAGACACAGACACAGACACAGAGACACAGACACAGAGACACAGAGACACAGACACAGAGACACAGACACAGAGACACAGAGACACAGACACAGAGACACAGGGAGTACATGATGTAGACAGACACAGAGACACAGAGACACAGACACAGAGACACGGAGACACAGAGACACAGGGAGTACATGATGTAGACAGACACAGAGACACAGACAGACACAGAGACACAGAGACACAGGGAGAGACAGAGACACAGAGACACAGACACAGAGACACGGACGGAGACGCGAGGGAGTACATGATGTAGACAGACACAGAGACACAGAGACACAGACACAGAGACACAGGGAGAGACAGAGACACAGACACAGAGACACGGACGGAGACGCGAGGGAGTACATGATGTAGACAGACACAGAGACACAGAGACACTGAGACAGAGGGAGAGAGACACAGGGAGTACATGATGTAGACAGACACAGAGACACAGAGACACTGAGACAGAGGGAGAGAGACACAGGGAGTACATGATGTAGACAGACACAGAGACACAGAGACACAGACACAGAGACACAGGGAGTACATGATGTAGACAGACACAGAGACACAGAGAGACACAGAGACACAGGGAGTACATGATGTAGACAGACACAGAGACACAGAGACACAGGGAGTACATGATGTAGACAGACACAGAGACACAGAGAGACACAGAGACACAGGGAGTACATGATGTAGACAGACACAGAGACACAGACAGACACAGAGACACAGAGACACAGGGAGAGACAGAGACACAGAGACACAGACACAGAGACACGGACGGAGACGCGAGGGAGTACATGATGTAGACAGACACAGAGACACAGACAGACACAGAGACACAGAGACACAGGGAGAGACAGAGACACAGAGACACAGACACAGAGACACGGACGGAGACGCGAGGGAGTACATGATGTAGACAGACACAGAGACACAGAGAGACACAGAGACACAGGGAGTACATGATGTAGACAGACACAGGGACACAGACACAGAGAGACACAGACACGGGGGAGAGAGACACGGACGGAGACGCGAGGGAGTACATGATGTAGACAGACACGGGGAGAGAGACACTGGGAGTACATGATGTAGACAGACACAGAGACACAGAGACACTGAGACACAGAGACACAGACACAGAGACACAGGGAGTACATGATGTAGACAGACACAGAGACACAGAGACACTGAGACACAGAGACACAGGGAGTACATGATGTAGACAGACACGGGGAGAGAGACACAGGGAGTACATGATGTAGACAGACACGGGGAGAGAGACACAGGGAGTACATGATGTAGACAGACACAGGGACACAGACACAGAGAGACACAGACACGGGGGAGAGAGACACGGACGGAGACGCGAGGGAGTACATGATGTAGACAGACACGGGGAGAGAGACACTGGGAGTACATGATGTAGACAGACACAGAGACACAGAGACACTGAGACACAGAGACACAGACACAGAGACACAGGGAGTACATGATGTAGACAGACACAGAGACACAGAGACACTGAGACACAGAGACACAGGGAGTACATGATGTAGACAGACACGGGGAGAGAGACACAGGGAGTACATGATGTAGACAGACACGGGGAGAGAGACACAGGGAGTACATGATGTAGACAGACACGGGGAGTACATGATGTAGACAGACACAGAGACACAGAGACACAGACACGGGGGAGAGAGACACGGACGGAGACGCGAGGGAGTACATGATGTAGACAGACACAGAGACACAGACAGACACAGAGACACAGACAGACACAGAGACACAGAGACACAGGGAGAGACAGAGACACAGAGACACAGACACAGAGACACGGACAGAGACGCGAGGGAGTACATGATGTAGACAGACACAGAGACACAGAGACACAGAGAGACACAGAGACACAGGGAGTACATGATGTAGACAGACACAGGGACACAGACACAGAGAGACACAGACACGGGGGAGAGAGACACGGACGGAGACGCGAGGGAGTACATGATGTAGACAGACACGGGGAGAGAGACACTGGGAGTACATGATGTAGACAGACACGGGGAGTACATGATGTAGACAGACACAGAGACACAGGGAGTACATGATGTAGACAGACACAGAGACACAGACAGACACAGAGACACAGGGAGAGACAGAGACACAGAGACACAGACACAGAGACACGGACGGAGACGCGAGGGAGTACATGATGTAGACAGACACGGGGAGAGAGACACAGGGAGTACATGATGTAGACAGACACGGGGAGAGAGACACAGGGAGTACATGATGTAGACAGACACGGGGAGTACATGATGTAGACAGACACAGAGACACAGAGACACTGAGACACAGAGACACAGACACAGAGACACAGGGAGTACATGATGTAGACAGACACAGAGACACAGAGACACTGAGACACAGAGACACAGGGAGTACATGATGTAGACAGACACGGGGAGAGAGACACAGGGAGTACATGATGTAGACAGACACGGGGACACAGAGACACAGGGAGTACATGATGTAGACAGACACAGAGACACAGAGACACAGAGACGGGGGATAGAGACACGGACGGAGACGCGAGGGAGTACATGATGTAGACAGACACAGAGACACAGACAGAGACACAGAGACACAGACACAGAGACACAGAGACACAGGGAGTACATGATGTAGACACAGACACTGGGAGTACATGATGTAGACAGACACAGAGACACAGAGACACAGAGACACAGAGAGTACATGATGTAGACAGACACAGAGACACAGAGACACAGGGAGTACATGATGTAGACAGACACAGAGACACAGAGACACAGAGACACAGAGACACAGGGAGTACATGATGTAGACAGACACAGAGACACAGAGACACAGGGAGTACATGATGTAGACAGACACAGAGACACAGAGACACAGACACGGGGAGAGAGACACGGACGGAGACGCGAGGGAGTACATGATGTAGACAGACACAGAGACACAGAGACACAGGGAGAGAGACACAGAGAGACACTGGGAGTACATGATGTAGACAGACACAGAGACACGGGGAGAGAGACACAGGGAGTACATGATGTAGACAGACACAGAGACACAGAGACACAGAGACAGAGGGAGAGAGACACAGGGAGTACATGATGTAGACAGACACAGAGACACAGAGACAGAGGGAGAGAGACACAGGGAGTACATGATGTAGACAGACACAGAGACACAGAGAGACACAGAGACACAGAGACACAGGGAGAGACAGAGACACAGAGAGACACAGGGAGTACATGATGTAGACAGACACAGGGAGTACATGATGTAGACAGACACAGGGAGTACATGATGTAGACAGACACAGAGACACAGACACGGGGAGAGAGACACAGAGACACAGAGACACAGGGAGAGACAGAGACACAGAGAGACACGAGGGAGTACATGATGTAGACAGACACGGAGACACAGAGACACGGGGAAAGAGACACAGAGACACAGAGACACTGCGAGTACATGATGTAGACAGAGACGGAGACACAGAGACACTGAGACACAGGGAGTACATGATGTAGACAGACACGGGGAGAGAGACACAGAGACACAGAGACACAGGGAGTACATGATGTAGACAGACACGGGGAGTACATGATGTAGACAGACACGGGGAGAGAGACACAGAGACACTTAAACACAGGGAGTACATGATGTAGACACAGACAGAGACACAGAGACACTGAGACACAGGGAGTACATGATGTAGACACAGACAGAGACACAGAGACACGGGGAGAGAGACACAGGGAGTACATGATGTAGACAGACACAGGGAGTACATGATGTAGACAGACACGGGGAGAGAGACACAGAGACACATGGAGAGACACAGAGACACAGGGAGAGAGACACAGGGAGAGAGAGACACGGGGAGAGAGAGACACGGGGAGAGAGAGACACGGGGAGAGAGAGACACGGGGAGAGAGAGACACGGGAAGAGAGAGACACGGGGAGAGAGAGACACGGGGAGAGAGAGACACGGGGAAAGAGAGACACGGGGAGAGAGAGACACGGGGAGAGAGAGACGGGGAGAGAGAGAGAGACACGGGGAGAGAGAGACACGGGGAGAGAGAGAGAGACACGGGGAGAGAGAGACACGGGGAGAGAGAGACACGGGGAGAGAGAGACACGGGGAGAGAGAGACACGGGGAGAGAGAGACACGGGGAGAGAGAGAGACACGGGGAGAGAGAGACACGGGGAGAGAGAGAGAGACACGGGGAGAGAGAGACACGGGGAGAGAGAGACACGGGGAGAGAGAGACACGGGGAGAGAGAGACACGGGGAGAGAGAGACACGGGGAGAGAGAGACACGGGGAGAGAGAGACACGGGGAGAGAGAGACACGGGGTGAGACAGAGACACAGTGAGAGAGACAGAGACACAGTGAGAGAGAGACACGGGGAGAGAGAGACACGGGGAGAGAGAGACACGGGGAGAGAGAGACACGGGGAGAGAGAGAGACACGGGGAGAGAGAGAGACAGTGAGACAGAGACACGGGGAGAGAGAGACACAGTGAGACAGAGACACGGGGAGAGAGAGAGAGACACAGTGAGACAGAGACACGGGGAGAGAGACACGGGGAGAGACAGAGACACGGGGTGAGACAGAGACACGGTGAGACAGAGACACGGGGAGAGAGAGACACGGGGAGAGAGAGACACGGGTAGAGAGAGACACGGGTAGAGAGAGACACGGGTAGAGAGAGACACGGGTAGAGAGAGACACGGGGAGACAGAGACACAGTGAGACAGAGACACGGGGTGAGACAGAGACACAGTGAGACAGAGACACGGTGAGAGACAGAGACACGGAGAGAAAGACACACAGTGAGACAGAGACACACGGAGAGAGAGACACGGGGAGAGAGACGGGGAGAGAGAGACATGGAGAGAGAGAGACACAGTGAGACAGAGACACGGGGAGAGAGAGACACGGGGAGAGAGAG